TCTTATTGTTACGCTTGCCTCGAGCAGGTTTCGTCTTGAGCGGATTTCGCCCACGCCCAAGCCACTCCGAAGCTACCTTACTTTTTCTGAACACCCACGCTCAGAAAAAGTAAGGTAGCTTGGGCGTGGATGCTCAGCGTGGGATTCTCCAGGGATGCTGGTGCCCTCCTGGGGTATTCTTATATTTAATTCCGCTACCATGTTGATGGGGAGGGGGGCCTCCGGACACCTGCACTCACCAGGCGAAATGCAGATGTAAACTTCTACTTCACGCTGGTATTCTATGAGGTCGTGGTACCACCCCGGTTCGAGCCGGCCCATCCGTGCAACAGCAAAAGCTGCCGCGTGGCTCTACCACTGTTAGAATGATTACATTCTATTCTATTGCATACCTTAAGCGAAAGCGCAAGGTATGTTCTACTATCGACTAAAAATTAAGATTCCAACGTTTTATCGAATAAAATCGTATCTAGCAATCATATTATACTTATAAATGATATAAAAAGCACATTGTTAGAAAGATAAATGATTGTTGAACTTATTATTATTTTTTTAAATCGATTAATTGCTATTTTTAAATAAAAAAAGAATTTTAGTGGCTTATGATGTCGATTTATCATGTCCCTGTGGCTTGTAAACACGATAACTTTTGAAAATATCAATTGTTTAACTCCATCTATTTTTTAATCTCTTCATCTATCATGTGGGAAGCCACTGAATGTAAATGGCAGTGTAATTTTGTTTTGTTTAGCTATAATTAATTTTTTTCGGCTCCAAAATGGCAAAATTTTCGTTGATTTGGTAGCCTTATATGTAAATTATTTCTGTAAATGGGGAGCTACAGCCACAGAGTAGTTTAGTTAGTTCGGCTTCAGTCGCCGTCGTGAGTGGACATTGTTTCGGTTGTTTGCAGCGGCTCAAAAAGATCGCTGTACAACACAGTATTCGAATAACCAAATTTCTTAGATACTTTATAATTATAATAATAATATGAGATTTTTTTTATTACAATATTTTAAAAGCACAGAATAAATAATAGTAGTACGTACTAAAAGTAAGTAGTATAATTTTTTTTTGTCATGGGTGTCATTTTTATAGTTTTCGAGGGTGTTGAAGCCGATAGTGCTGTCGAAATGTAAATCCAAGATGGCGGCTGAAGTAGGTACCAATTTTTACATCATGGGTGTCATTTTCATGGTTTCCAAGGGTGTTGAAGCCGATAGTGCTGTCGAAATGTAAATCCAAGATGGCGGCTGAAGTAGGTACCAATTTTTTCATCATGGGTGTCATTTTCATGGTTTTCGAGGGTGTTGAAGCCGATTGTGCTGTCGAAATGTAAATCCAAGATGGCGGCTGCAATAGATATCAACGTTTTCATCATGGGTGTCATTTTCATGGTTTTCGAGGGTGTTGAAGCCGATAGTGCTGTCGAAATGTAAATCCAAGATGACGGCTGCAATATATATCAATTTTTTCATCTTGGGTGTCATTTTAATGGTTTTCGAGGGTGTTGAAGCCGATAGTGCTGTCGAAATGTAAATCCAAGGTGGCGGCTGCAATGGATATCAATTTTTTCATCATGGGTGTCATTTTCATGGGTTTCGAGGGTGTTGAAGCCGATAGTGCTGACGAAATGTAAATCCAAGATGGCGGCTGAAGTAGGTACCAATTTTTTCATCTTGGGTGTCATTTTCATGGTTTTCGAGGGTGCTGAAGCCGATAGTGCTGTCGAAATGTAAATCCAAGATGGCGGCTGAAGTAGGTACCAATTTTTTCATCATGGGTGTCATTTTCATGGTTTTCGAGGGTGTTGAAGCCGATAGTGCTGTCGAAATGTAAATCCAAGATGGCGGCTGCAATAGATATCAGTTTCTTCATCTTGGGTGTCATTTTAATGGTTTTCGAGGGTGTTGAAGCCGATAGTGCTGTCGAAATGTAAATCCAAGATGGCTGTTGAAGTGGGTACCAATTTTTTCATCATGGGTGTTATTTTCATGGTTTCCAAGGGTGTTGAAGCCGATAGTGCTGTCGAAATGTAAATCCAAGATGGCGGCTGCAATAGATATCAATTATTTCATCTTGGGTGTCATTTTAATGGTTTTCGAGGGTGTTGAAGCCGATAGTGCTGTCGAAATGTAAATCCAAGGTGGCGGCTGCAATGGATATCAATTTTTTCATCATGGGTGTCATTTTCATGGGTTTCGAGGGTGTTGAAGCCGATAGTGCTGACGAAATGTAAATCCAAGATGGCGGCTGAAGTAGGTACCAATTTTTTCATCTTGGGTGTCATTTTCATGGTTTTCGAGGGTGCTGAAGCCGATAGTGCTGTCGAAATGTAAATCCAAGATGGCGGCTGCAACAGATATAAATTTTTTCATCATGGGTGTCATTTTCATGGTTTTCGAGGGTGTTGAAGCCGATAGTGCCGTCGAAATGTAAATCCAAGATGGCGGCTGCACATAGATATCTATTTATTCATCTTGGGTGTCATTTTCATGGTTTTCGAGGGTGTTGAAGCCGATAGTGCTGTCGAAATGTTAATTCAAGATGGCGGCTGCAATAGGTATCAATTTTATCATCATGGGTGTCATTTTCATGGTTTTCGAGAAAGTTGAAGCCGATAGGGTTGTCGAAATGTAAATCCAAGGTGGCGGCTGCAATGGGTATCAATTTTTTCATCATGGGTGTCATTTTCATGGGTTTCGAGGGTATTGAAGCCGATAGTGCTGTCGAAATTTTAATCCAAGATGGCGGCTGCACATAGATATCTACTTTTTCATCTTGGGTGTCATTTTCATGGTTTTCGAGGGTGTTGATGCCGATAGTGCTGTCGAAATGTATTTAAACTACTTTAAAAATTACATATAATCATGTTATACGTAATTTTTTTAATGCGCTTAAGGTAACTATGCCCAATTGGATTTACCAGTATTCTATTCTATCCTAGTTGGAACGTCGGGGCCACCGATTTAAATCCCGTACGGAACAAGTATACAGAGAGAGACATATAAATAGATCTACAAATGATTGGTCCGGGTCTAGATGTTTGTTCTTGAAATGGTTTTTTTTTTAAATAAAAAAATGCTAATACATTGCATAACATCTCGGTCTATTTTACTATATTTTTTTTTATAGGATAAGGGTGACAAACGAGCACACAGTCCACCTTATGGTAAGTGGTTGCTGTGGCCCATAGACATCTACATCTATCCTCTATTACAAATCAATATGTAGATGCGTTGTCACCCGTGAGGACTAAGATGGAATGCCTCATTTTCTGTAAAGAGGGCCTCCGGCCACCTGCACTCACCAAGCGAAACGCAGAGGTAAACCTCTACTTCACGCTGGTTTTCTGTGAGGTCGTGGTACCACCCCGGTTCGAGCCGGCCCATCTGTGCTACAGCAAAAGCTGCCGCGTGGCTCTACCACTGTTAATTCTAGTATATACCAATTAATATCAAAGGCTTCTATTTGTTTTTTCACAAAACCTAACCCTAGAGTAGGGGCGGCCTTAAGATAGCCGCGTAACGGGCAATGTAATACAGACGCTCGCACGCGGACGTAAGGTGCATTTTGATTATACGAAACAAAAAATTATACGGCAGTCGTATAATTTTTTTTGACCTAGGCTAATTTCACGAAGGTTACTTTCGAGGCGTGCAAAGTATTATGAACATAAGAGACGTTATAACTAGGTTCTGTTCTAGTACTATTATTTATTCTGTGGTAATACTAGGGGTAGGGCACCAAACTACCAAGTCTTAGTTATCTATCTATCTTGTCTGAAGTATCTTGTTTGCAACATGAGCGTCAAGCTCCATTATTTAAACTCTCATCTGGACCATACGTGGTGATAGGTCCTGGATTTTAATATGGATTTGCTGCGTTCGGAATCCTGAATTCATTTCCGAAAGTATGTGGCCGGCCTAATAGGATAATAATTTGGTATTATTTGACTTGACACTGGCAGAAGTACAATCGTCTAAGTCCATTACCAAAAAAAAGAAGTAAGTTGATAAATGATAATTAGGCACAGTGTGACCATATGTGGCAGGTTCCTGCCATTTTGGCAGGATTGGCCTCTTATTTTAGCCTGTGGCATGATCGGTTGACGTTTTATAAAACCTGGCAGTATTTGGCATTATTGGGGTATTAAAAATATATTTCATCATGGCAACTTAAAATGATGAAAATGGTAACCCCTAGATACTTCGCCAGCATGTTGGGGATTTCCCTGTATTTCTCGGTTTCTCGTATTATGCTTGTATCATATTCAATAAACAACTTTAAAAAAAATTGTGTATAAAGTTGATAATCTTAACACGAGTTGGTTAGTATTTCAATCAGTCATAAAAGAGACGTACTTTAGTTTGGTATAGAATTAGATTTCATTATCACCATAGGTGGCGGTGATGAAGCGAAAATAAGACAGGGCGTTTAGAGCGAAGTGGAAGCAAGATGTTTTATTTCCATCATGGATCTCAAAAGCTAAAGATGATCCAGACTGTGTAACTGCAAATTGGCTAGTAAACATCAACAAAATATGAGTGGATTCAGCATGCGAAAGAATATTCTCTAAAATAAATTTAATTAAGACAAAAACACGAAACAGATTTATAAACTAACATGTAGCGTATATCTTGTACGTTAAACAAGCATGGCGATTGCATTGCATTCGAACCAACGAAAGATATGTTTAATTTTAATTTAAAAAATACAGCATTTATATGTGTATTTTGACTTTTATTAGTTTAATACAATGTTAAATAAAGTTGGCAGTATTTAGGCATTTTTCATTACAGATTTTGGCAGGATTTGGCAGGTTTTTTACCAAAGTGTGGCAGGATCTGTATTTTAAAGATTTTAAAGATGGTCACACTGATTAGGCAGCTATTGTTTATTTAAAAATTTACTTCAATAATTCCATTGATTCATTTTTATTTATCTATGATTTAAACTTAGTTCCATAAAATAAAACTACTTTTATAATATACCTAATCATGTTGCGTAGCTTTTGGAAATCTCCGAATATTTTATCTAACCTAAAACAGAAGGAAGTTAGATTTCCCGAAAAATTAAAAGGAACTTTATTGGAGAAATGGGCAGATTACTGGAAAAATCTTTTTATCGACTATCGCCAAATGTTACAAGATTTAAGAAGCGACATCCAAGAAGAACCAAAAAAAGCTTTTGTATGGGCTACTGGTCTCGCAACCATATATGCCCTTACGCGGAATAATCCTAATGAATTAGATTTTAGAGACAATTTAAAACATATCAACAATGAAGTTATTTTAGTGAGTGAAGAATGTGTAAATCCTAAATCTATTGAGCATCTACGTTTTATAGAGAGGTGCTACAATGAAGGTGTTATACATTATAAGAACCTTGGAATTGCGTCAGTGATTTATGTATCTGAAATTAACGACGCTTGCAACCTATATAGGTCACAGTGTTCATATCTACAGCCTTCTTTTTTTAGTTTTCTCTCAAGAATAATTGACATAGGCTTTTTAGGCAAATGGTGGAATATTTACATTAAGACCACAAATTACGATGTTAATTTATAAAAATACTATTATGTACATCATTGTGTAGTAAGTTTATAGTGTAGTTAACAAATAAACAAGGGAATGTTATAAATCCACTTGATGAATATTAAACCTGTAAACAATGGAATATTAAACTGCATTTACACTGTATAAATAATGATTATTGATACATTATGCTCCAATGCCGGATTGTAATCCATTATTATATTAGTGGCTTCATATATTAAACTACTGCCTTCTCCCCGATCTATCTAGGCCCTGGATGTCTGACATTTTTTACCATTTTCAAGTTTTGGTTCTATAATAATTAATTGTTTCTGCTAAAAGTAAATGTTTAAGTGAACTGATGTTTTGATATGGGATCTCACAATTTCATCCTTTCTCCTGCTTCCCTTTTTAATAGCATAGCTATCCATGCATATTTTTAAGCCACATATATCAAGCCTATTTCTATGACTTAGTCTACTTTTGTAGTGTTTCAAAGCTGCATTAACTTCTTCAAGTACTAAAAGAAAAATAAAATAGTTGTATTTAAATGATTATAGTAAACTATGACAGATTGATGATCATACAAAAACAAATGCTATATTAATATTGCTGTCTTCATAAAAACTCAAAGAAATTAAAAACTGCAGTTGCCGACCTTCCTGCCAAGCGTGGCAACTGTGGGAAAATCTAAAAAGGAGGCTGAAAAGGAAAATATTGACGATGACTTTTAGCAAACATTTAGAAAAACCAAAAGCAATAGCAGTAACAAGTTTGGTGTCAGCAATGCTTGCCTGTTTGAAGCACACCAACATATTCACAAGCATGTAAATGATAACTAAGCGTGAGCCTGGCATTCGTATAGTATTGAAGCTTATGGACACTTGCTAAGATTTGACAAGCGTGTAAACTTATCATAGGCAGCAGCTACAGCTATATTAGTCGTCTAGTTGTAGCAAAAATGGTTGGGGTCTTGCTGCTATATGACACACACCATGCCTACAGTGTAGGTAAATTGACAGAATCTGCATTTCACAATGTAATAACAAAGATTGAAGAGGCCATCCAAAACAAAGTAATATGTCTAGTTTCCTTCATAGATATTGAAGGTGCTTTTGACGGAATGAACTTCTCCAGCATAAAAAGTGCACTCAGTAGAAATAAAGTTGAAACGGCTCTCATTGACTGGTTAGTAAACATGCTCAGTACACAAACAAAAAAGATTGCTGGTGAATCTCAAACAATCCAGATTAAGAAAGGCTGCCCACGGTGTGGGGTTCTTTCACCTCTCCTGTGGAATATGGTGATAAATGAACTCATCAGCAAATTAAATGCCAATCATTTCTACACAGTAGGTTATGCTGATGACCTGACAATATTGGTCTCTGGAAAGAGAAAGCATGGTGTGCAACCAGACCCAAGTGGCTCTCCGTATAGCGGACTTAACCGTAAATTCCAATATAATGATTTTAGTAATGTTCACACAAAAACGAATGCTGAGTAACTATCATCTCCTAAGTCTTTTCAGCACAAAACTCCAGTTATCCTCCGTGGTAAAATATTTAGGTCTCACTTTGGACAGTAAACTCAACTGGAATAAACACATAGAAAACAAAATCAACAACGGTATTATAACTTTCTTGCATTGCAGAAACATGATTGGCAAAAGATGGGGTCTGACGCCAAAAATCATACTGTGGCTATAGAAAACTGTAATTTGGCCCATGATCACATACGGCGCTCTGGAATGGTGGACCAAAACAAATGAAGCCACCACCATAAAGAAGCTTCAGCGTTACCAGAGACTGGCATGTATGGCTGCCCCAGGCTGAATAAGGACTACGCCAACAGCAGCCTTAGAAGCGATGCTGGAGCTAACCCCACTTCATCTACATATACAACAAGAAGCGACTTTAGCTGCCATCAGACTCAAGACCTTAAATCTTTGGAGTAAGAATAGTGGCATAATTGATAGAATTCACTCAAAAATTCCTGTCTTACAAGCCAAGTACGATAAGATTCCTAAACAATTTGTATCCGATAAGAAGTACAAGATACAATTAAATGAAACCAGCCAGCCGGAAGGATTAAGCCCAAAAGACCTTAGAGTTTTCACTGATAGTTCTAAAACAAATGAAAGTGTAGGATCTGGAACTTTCCCTGAAGACCTCAATAACCAAATACGCACACCGCTGGGTACCTGTTGGCGCCAAGCGCTAGTTTCAAGGATTGACGCGAGAGGGCGCTCGGCGCGGTGCATTCATACCGGTTTGACTTTCGGTCGTGCGAAAAGCGCACAAGGGCAGGCAGTCGTCTTTAAACAGTGCTAACGATTGGCACGCTGTCATTCTTGTCGGGAACTCGGAATAATTAAGCGCGGACAGTAAAAATACGGTCTAGAATTTGTGGCGCGCATCCCTACTGGAGAGCTTCTCCGGGACACATTGTGTCTGACTCAGAATTTGCATAAGTGCATTCGGCAATATTAGCTAGTGCGGCCTCTGATATTCTAGAACTAACTGTTGCACGCGAAACGGTAGCGACCTTTGATCCAGAAACTCCGTGTGCGTTTTGTGCGGTAACCTTATACCCCGCGATAGTTAGTGGCTTCTGTTAGTTAGTTAATCGCACGATAGAGTTAATTGACTGTCATCGTGACGAACGAGGAAAGTGAATGTGGACAACGCCTCGGAGGGCCCCCTCAAGTTGGAGCGTTGTCGACGCCCGGGCTGCTGCCGACGGCTAAGGTCTAGGTTCAATCACCATCAGTCACACCCAGATACATATCACATCACCTTCTTTCCCTTGCACTACACAACCACATGCGACCTGACCGTCGCCTTGGATATAGGTAAGCTACGTCCAAATTCCTTCCGGTCGACTGACCGTAGTATAACGCTCCCCCATATATTTTAGTGTAATTAGAGAGATTCCACGTGGCCACATTGAGGCCCGACCTACGTCTGCTCGGGAAGTCTTCTGCTCATGGGCCCCAGAGGATTGGACCTTTTAAGGGAGCAGCCGTAGGCCGTAACAGTACCTATAACACGGTCTTTCAGGCGGAATGTATGGGTATCATTTAAGCGGCCATAGCAATAGATGCTAGGAAGGTTAATAACTTCTCCATCAGAATACTGACCGACAGTAGGGCGGTACTACAAGCTCTCAGTTGCAATGTGGTGAACTCTGGGCTAATATATGAATGCCATCAACGAATAAATGAGGTATGTAAAAACAACAATGTGACTCTGCAATGGATAAAAGGACACAGTGGATTCAGAGGCAACGATGCAGCAGACGAACTGGCAAGAAGAGGATCGGCACTGGCCACTATAGGGCCGGAACCAGTCACTAATCATCATGCTCAGCTTTGGAAAAATCTAGTAGACTGTAGACAAGCTAGGAAGTCCCTGCCTGAAATAAACAGTTGTTAAACCAAAGTTCTAAAGAGAGTGAACAAGCTGCAGATCAGGATAGTAACAAGTGCTATCATAGGACATGGCACCTTTAACAAACATTTATTTACTATAGGTGTTACAGATAGTCCCCTGTGCAGGGCATGTATGGGAATGAGGAAGAAACGGCGGCCCACGTGCTACTGAAATGTCCGGAAGTCGCTGTATACAGGGCTAAACATCTCATCACGCCGGGATCACTCCCCGAAGTTGTTTGCAACATCAAAGGACTGTTGAACTTCTACGGGGAGATTTCATTGCTCCAATAAATACATTATTCCTGCCCACACGCAAAGTACGCGCTTAGACGTGGAGTTGCGGAAAACAGCTCGTTTATTCAATTTAATTGGTTGGGCTCGACCGGGGAAGGACCACGCTCTCGCAGAATACCAGCGTAAAATGGCAGCTTGACACTGCTGTGTTTCGTATGGTGAATGTAGAGAACCGAAGACCCATTTTACTGGAAAAGAGGCATTCCATCTTAGTCTTCATGGGTGACGACGCATCTGCATTTTGATTCTTTATTGAGGATAAATATCTATGGGTCACAGCAACCACTTATCATCAGGTGGACTGTGTGCTCGTTTGTCACCCTATCCTATAAAAAAAACGCTTGAGAATAAAGTCGGTATTTAGTTGTATGCACCCTAGTAACACATGCGTAATGCGCGTGTGTCCGTGAGTATGCAGCACTAGCATCTTTCTGAAAACTTTAATTAAAAACTGCGGTTGCCAACGTGCTTACCAAGCATGGCAAGTGGCAACTGGTGGCAACTACGGCAAACATCCCCCCATAATCAACGACATAAATAAAACTACCAGGGGCATAGCTACTGCCGTATCAACGATACGAGGCCCCCGGCATAGAGTAAAGAAGACCAGAGGTGAAGCTTTCTAACAACGTCGAAAATCTATACCTATTCTGATAGGGTTATCACCTGATGCAAGTGAAAATTTTAAGAAAAAAATAAAAATATTATATTGTATAAAATTACATGTGTATTCATTGATGATGGCGGTAGTAAGGGCAGTGGTGGTGATGCTGGTCGTGGTGGTAGTGCCAGTGGTGGTCTAACTAACTGCACCACTGTTAGTGGTAGTAGTGCTGATGATGGTGGACGGTGGTGCTGATCGTGTGGTGTTTGTAGCGGTGGATGGTGGTGCAGTACGTGCTGGTAATGGTGTCGGTGATTGTGGTGGTACTGGTAGTATCATTGGTGGTGGTGGTGGACAGTGGACCACCACTGGCACTACCACCACGACCAGCATCACCACCACTGCCCTTACTACCGCCACCATCATCCTGGTAGTAACATTGGTGGTGGTGGTGTATCAACACCGCCACTGCCCACTACCATCATCACAGTCATTACTAATATGTATATATGTATAGATATGTATATGTAATGTGAAGCTAAGCATGAAAATTAGCAAAATATACAATTTTTGCAGTTTCAATTTTAATTACAAATAACAGACATGTTATTATATTAACTTAAGTTACAATGAATACACATGTTATTTTATACAATATAATATTTTTATTTTTTTCTTAAAATTTTCACTTGCATCAGGTGA